TCTCAATAGACTATTTTATAGCTTATAGGACCGACCGATAAAACATTATATCTAAAAATGTTACAATAAGTTTATAGAACTTAGGATATTATAAAGTTAAAATGTCTTAATAGCTATTTTATAAAACACTATTTGAAAAAGTGTCTTATAGAAACAAGTGTCATATAAAAAGAAGTGTTTTTTTTCTATAAAATAACTAATACGACGCTTTATTTTAAAATATTTTAAAAGACTTGTTAAGACGCCAAAAAACGTCATATAAACTTATTACAATACTTTTAGATAAGACGTTTTATCGTTTAATCTTTTAAACCTAAGACCTATTATAAAACAATCTATAAAGATGTAGATTTAAATATTTTTAACGTTTATAAACCCAATTTTTTTCAACTTATCCATCTTTTATTACTATATATCCTAACAATTAAATATTTCGGTCTTAATGAATTAAGAGCATATATACTTTTAGCTTAATTTCCTCTATTTTTTTTATTAGAAGGGTATTCGCACGATGCAGCGAGATACATCTTGATTTTAATATTTTATTTTATTATTTATCTCAGTCGATGTTATAATATGATCTTACGTGATTCTGAAAAACCGATGATGTTTTTATTTTTAAATAAAATATAAATTTGAAGATATCGTAAAAATTTGACAAAAATATATCGATATTAGTATCAAATTTACTTTAAAATTCCTATTTTTTGTGTAACTTTTTAATTCAATTTTTTTAATTATAATTTAATTTAGGTTCAGTAACGAAGTAATTTATATTTGGTTTAATACTATAATTTTCTTATAAAGATAATAATTAATTATTTTGTTAGAACTCAATAATTATCCTAATTGTATTTTAGATTTTTTTTTTCTAAAATGTGATGTTTATCTTTTATTTGATTATGTTTATCCGCAGTTAGTTACACGAATTCAAGCATAAAACTTTAATAAGTTGTATTTATGCATAATTTACTTGTAATCTTGAATTTTAAGTAATATGCATCAATATACAATATTTTATGCATAAAAAATAATTTTTAAAAATTTTTGTCAAATGATTTACAATGTGAAATCAATTTTCTTAAAGCATTAAAAAGCACTCATAAAAGAGGATTAAAAATGAAAACGACAACATATACACTTAAATGGTATGGAAAATGATATTTACATGTAAAATATAAATTAAAATTGCAATTATTTGGACATTTATTGGATCACTTTTTACCCAATAAATAATTAAATGATCGATATTAAATATTTGATGATCATCAACTTGTGTTATTCAATTGTTTGGTATATGGATAAGTTGATAAAAAGATGAGATCGCAAACGTAAACACGATCGACGAATCAAAGCTACGAACACGATGAGGATTTAATTTGTGTCAACTAATTAATCGAGCTACTTAGGTGCACCGACCATACTCTTAACGTTACTTCCACTACAACAAAATTGAGTTTATAGGACACCCCCAATCTCTAAGTGTCCCAATAGACCTCGTTATAAGATTTAATTTACAAGACTAAAATATATAAAGTGTCATATCTAAAGGTGTTGTAATAAGTTTATATGACGCTTTTGGGAGTCTTAACAAGTTTTTTAGGACATTTTTAATACAAAGTGTCGTATTAGCAACTTTATAGGACACTTTTGAGAAAGTGTCCTATAAACTCATTTTTTATAGGACACTTGTTCTTATAGGACATTTTTGCAAATAGTGTCCTATAAAGTTGATAATGAAACATTTTATATTAAAAGTGTTCTAAAAAACTTATTACGACGACAAAAATCGTCATATAAACTTATTACAACACCCTTAGATAGGACACTTTATTTTTTTGGTCATATAAACTAAGTCCTATAAAGAGGTCTATTATGACACTTAGAATTTGAGAGTGTCCTGTAAATCTGATTTTGTTGTAGTGTTCCCCAAATAATAAACGGTACATACTCAATGACGAGGATGGAAACTCGTAGTTTTTGAGATGTTACGTCATCGCTGAACAATTAATAGTTTTTAGTGACATGGTTTAAGTATTCGAGATTTGGTGAATTTGTTCAATTTTAAGAAAGCGTTTAGTTTCGTTTTGTTTGTAGTTCTATATGCGATAGTATGTACGTTTGTGATATGACAGGATGTGGGGTGGACACTGGTTAGACGAGTACGTACGTAGATGTGACAAAATGATAATAGCAACAACGATCTGGTCCAAGATGAGGACTTTTACATTTCAATGGTCCTCGTAAGCAACATTGGCCTAGTACCTTTGGTAACTGTCGTTTCTAAGGCAACAGGGGCCTAAAAACATATTGACGATAATCGTGGAGCAACTCTGTATCGTTTAAAATATAACAACAGCTGATTGTTAACTTCGAACCAGCACATGGGAATTAGAAAAGGAATTTGTTACAGTTGTGGTAAGTTTGGTCACAAGTCCTCTAATTGTAAATTGTTAAAGTGACTACTAGAAAACCGACTTTCACTGACAGTCGTCACCGACAGCTGAAATCCGTTAGTAATTTTCGACGAAATAGCGACGGGATCAGCGACAGATGGCCCACCACAAACACTTTTCCCGACGAAAAGAAAACCCATCGGTAATATTACATCATAAAAAATTTATTTTTGTCAATGATTTTTCCACGTGCCCGTTGCTAATTCGTTGGTGATTTTTCTGAAAGCAAACCTTGTTGGATTCGAATTCAAAACAACGGTTGTTGCTCACTTTTAACACTGTGCTATTTGTTCTTGAAATTCGGAAGAAAAAAAATCGGGACCAACTAGGTTGCTCAACAAGCATCGCTTTAACCTACTGGACTATCTGTTGGTAAATAGACTTTACAATAACGGTGTCTATCACTCATTCATTGATTCACCTTATTATTCTTCGTTGTCGACTCACTGAGCCCAACGGCTTTTGCGGTAACAGAATGATACGTCTTCGTCTTCTTAAAAAAAACATCGTTGTCTAACTCTATTTAATTTATATCGGCTTTCGTCTTTAATTTTCATCCCTCCATGATTGACGCTTGATATCCACATCAAAATTTTACAAAATGATAATGTATTTGATTCGTATTTTATTCTTGAAGTCTGTTCACGATTTGTGAAAGATTAATGTTGTATTTCCTCGTTCTTAAAACCCTTGAAGGAAATTGTGTATGAAGCATCACCAAAAATTGAAGAGCTTGAAATGAGGTCAGAGTAATGACAAAACGAGTGGAAAATCATATGATCCTAGTTTTTCTCAAATCTACGTTGGACAGTGAACCTCAGAGCTTTCGAGAAGTTGTGGCCTCTTCAGAAGGACCTCAACGGAAACAGGTTATCAAAAGTGAAATCGATATCATTAAAAACCATACGTGGGAGACAATAGACCTTGCTACAGAATGCAAACCGCAAGGTAAGATGTCGACTTTCAAAAAGGAAATATGAAAGATTGATGGGACAATCGATAAGTACACAGTAAGGCTAGTAACTGAAGGTTGCAAATTATGTGATGGTTTGGATTACTTGGGTATATATGACAAGAATAACGTGCATAAAGGCATGGCAGACCTAGTAAGGTGCATACTGTGGCATGTGCCACCACTTCATCGTGCTAACGCAGTGGAAAAATTACGACTTTTAAAGGTATCACTATGTTTCTTAAACATGTGGCATCGTTTTGGTTAAATAAGACAGAAAAGTGGAGAATGTTGGTAAGAACCCAATCTAGTTTAACTGGTTTTTTGTGTTTTGTTCCATAACTATAATTAAATTTTATTTAGGGACCGTTTATCAAACACTTACCCGGTAGGTGCTTAACGGTAAAATTTAACACTATTATGTACTTACCGGGTAAGATTTTAGTCCACCAAAACGACATACTATACAACAATTTACCCGATAAGCGCTTACTGTGGTAAGAATCATCGCCCTCACTTACTGGATAAGACTCTTGATCATTGTCTTGCTCTTATCGGGTAAGATTCTTGGTTTTTACTATATTCATCCGATGAGGTAATGTTACTTGATAAGCGCTTACCCAAGTAAGCGTTTGGTAAACAGCCCCTTAATTTCAAATTACAATAGTTTGTTAATCTTACCAGTTAATTAAGTTTTCTTTTCATCAACTATGTAACTTTGTGTTTATATGTTGAAGGTATGCTTTTGTTGAAGTATATCGATATCAAATACCTACGTATGCTCCTCACTTTTTGTGAGGTTTGAGCCCTTTGCCATCCCGAGAGGTTGGGTCTACAGGTAACCCGAATACTGTTGGATCAATAACCCTTTGGTAATAAAATGATAAATTCGACAAAAGACATTGAAAGCAAGGTTTAACATGAAAAACAATCTAGCTAACGTAATCTTTCCAAGGATAAATGGACTTGTCTAAACACACACACATATATAAACAAAGGATCATATGAGAATATCATTTGAGGTGAAAAACATAAGGGATCCAAACCCATGACCTTTTTTAATCTCGCATCTCGATGCAGTGCATTAGTATTGATCTTTAATTAGGATTGATCCAATGATGGAGATACCTTCTTACCCTTCTCGCTATAACTTCTATTCTCATGGGACCCAATCCATCTTGGGGTTAAGCTCCAATAGGGTGCACAAAACCCAACCTAAAATAACCCGATGCCTCTTAAGTTGTAAAACCTTCAAACCTTAGATGATACCCCTATTATACACGTTAACGTTGAATTTGATTAGCATGACCGATGCCAAAAACTAGTTAGCTCTTGATCTAACTTTTTCTTTGCTCCCCACGTAGCATAAAAGGTCAATTAACTAGCATGGGACCTATCGGTGACTGCTATTATGTCATAACTCAACCCTATATTTTTTAAATATTTTTGTAACAGGTTGAGTTTTTCTAACCGCAATAGTTGGGTTGGGTTGGGTTGTTCAAACCGGCAAAACCAACCCATGTGCAACCCTAACCTCCATGCACATGACACACCAATATACAAGTTTCTATGCATCAAGTACAAGTACTTAAAGCAACATTACCAACTCCACAATAAAAGGCTTGTACTGTTTGTACATGAACACCATATATTCCACAGAACACATTTACACATGAGTTGAACAGAATCTTGAGAAACAAAACCACACAATTAAGCCAGCCAAACAAATCCATGTTATTTAAAACATGAATATACTACTGGTAGTAGTGAAATCACAATGAATTGATTAAAACCCCAAAAAGTTAACAAAAAAACAAAACAATCAGCGTGCACTTACAAGAAACGGATGCTGGCAAACTCCACATTCGATGGTCTCAGATCCCGAGCTAGGAACTTGAACCTGCAAATGAACGGTACACGTGGGGCATGCAACTTCTTTCATCCGTCTGCTAGAACCCCCTTCCGACTTAGAACCTGCTCGTTATTTAACACAAATGTAAGTAATTTTATCATTTATTTCCTGTATGATATTTGCATTACCAAATATTCTACTTGCCCTCCATTTTGGTTTCTGTCCAATAAGTTTAGCAATTCATCGATAGAAATCTTGCTACTATTCCTTAACTTCTTAATTATTATATAAGTTCTGATACATCCCATTTAAAGTGGCAAGCGTAAGATCGAGGTCTGAGGATCCCAACAATGATGATGTCAAATGACATAAACAAGCAACAAAATTGGAAGTTAATTGGACCAAACAGACATTAGAAGTAGAGGCTTAACGAACAAAGTAACTTTGTCTATGCTCTAAGAGTGCATTTGGTACACAGACAAAATTGGGCAAGACTGGATGGACGAGAGTGAGGTAGGCAGGCAGGTGAGAGAATCATGGAAGGTTTTAGGGTTTTAATTTGGCATGGGTAGTTTAGTAATTTACCAAGTTTGTCCCATCTTTCTGATTTTGTTCCACCTATCTTGGTAGGACAGAGAATGCATTTTTGTACTATTTCGCATACCAAACACGCCCTAAGAGTACAAAGAATATGAATTTGGGAACTACAACAAACATGAAGATGGGGAAGAAGATGACGATAAATAATGAATCTCTAAAAAGAAGTCAAGGGGTAGGATGGTAATCTTTCCAGTTTCCACAGAGCGAATTTGGAGTACATGTAAAGACACAGAAGGATGAATGACACTTTCCTATTTATATACGAGATGGGGTTTTGAGACATATGGGCAAAAGTGAAAATAATAATTGAATACAAAATACAACAGAAACTGTAACGCATTAACTTGTCCATTAACAGAACCCACAAGTAGTCATAGAGATATTACTGGAACAAGGTTGTACCTGATGATGATTTGTGATTTCTTTCCAACTCCTCCTGGATAAAATAGCAAAACATCAGATATGTTGCAAAGCATACTGGTAAAGAAGCCTAAACATCTGAAAGGTCCAGATGTTGGTTCTAGGTATTTCATTTCACAAATCAAACTCAAAAATACGACAATGTAGAAGCATGCTTATCAAAATGAGCTAAAAACAAACACCCCTTAAAGCCATCATCCAATCTCGAACCAGATCAACACAGATGAATGATGAATAGAAGAGATAATGTATTTTAAGTTAATTAAAAAGCTGACAACTAGGTGGCGATGTGTTTTTCTGCACATTGCAAAGTAAGCGATAATCATCCATGCATTTTTATGTTGGATTTCAGGAAAATCCAAGGCCATTACACACATGAACGGAAAGCTCTATGATATACATTAGGGCAGTAATTTTAGTAAGTTGGGCTCTGTGTCAATGTGTTGCCAAGGAAGCCCAAAGACTTCGCTAAAGTGGGTTTCACTTGTGACATATTACAAAAAAAAGCAGGGAGGGGGACAGTCAAATGAAGAAAAAAATACCCATGAAGTAAAATATTTATTATACTAAGAACTAAGAAAAAGAAAAAAAAAGAGCCAATCAAGCAACTGGAATCTAAACCCTAAATGCCTGTCAAGAAATACTCACGACTTTGCAAGATCTAAAATTCACCTGAAGTTTCTTTGCAAGATCTTCATGGCTTTGCAATCCAGATGATCTGCTAGCAGCAGATTCCTTAGCACTGCTCAACCGGTGAGTTACCTCTAACTGAAAATTAAAAATAACAAAATGAGATTTATTGCATTAATAATCTGAAGAAATAGGAAGGTACCAAGCAATGTCTTACGTTTTTCCCTGTAAGCAAAGCATCACTAATAACTAATACAATTCTACTTGGTATCACGATGAATTTAATATAATCATAGAAACTTAAACTTTGAAAAAATAAATTGTACCATTGACTTGTCTATTAATTGATATTGCTAATAATATAAACCAATCAAATATGTCAATCATACGTTGAAAGATAATGTAATCACTTTTTAAGTAAGATTGACCATCAAGCATACTGAACATTTCCTAGAAGTCCCAAGATCAAGCAAAACTAAACACACAAATGGGATCTACAAAGAAAAAGAATCAATCTATAAAGATAAATTAGAATGGGGCGTAGAATAGTGATTTTCCTAAATGGGATTGTAAATAAATCTGTCGAGAAAAATAAGATAAGAGTAACAAAAGCATACCATGCAACGATCGCAAACACGAACTTGAGGAGCATTCTCTTCAGATGTAAGAGCAATTCTTCCATGGGTGCACTTGTCACAAAAAATATCTCCACAGTTTCGGCAATGATGCTACAGCGGCCAATGATTATATCACATAGCATTCACAAAAAGAAAGAAGCATAAAAGGTTTATTGGAAATTGATAGAATATGATTCCACCAACCTTCCTATTAAAAGCGCTGAAATCCGATCCACAACCAGTACACTTTGTAACAGCTTCATCAGGTACCTACAAAAAAATTGGTAATGAGCCATGAAAAAGACACAGCAAAAAGTTCAACAATTACAAGCATTAAAGTCGGTCAAAAATGAAGTAACTTGCATACTGCTAACTTGTAGCACGAACTAAATAGCATTTTTTACCATTATGTAATCAGAACCACAAACAACATTAAGATATCAACCTAGTTGATTCCTTTAACAGCATGATTATTCCGTCAAAAAACCTGTGTGTGTCCACCAACAATTCAAGAACTGAAAGTAACCAACGAATGATGGTAGAATGTTTGTTATAAATACTAACAATACAAGGGTCCCCAGAGAAAAGCTCAGTGATGATATATGAGCGTGGCTACTATGGATATTTAAAATGCTAGATGGAATTCATTTAAGCCATTTGACATCCGACATTTTCATCATCGTCTTGGTGTGAGGAAACAAAGATGTGATCATGTGTCCAATTGCTTGATGTAGGGACGACTGAGACAGGATCCATAAAATAGAGAATGAAACATGGAGCTAAATGGTGAAAACTAATAGCATGTAGAATTTGCCCATCTACAGATTTTATTAAATTTGGTTCCTAAAGGCATTATAGAATTTGATTAATGCCACAACAACAAAATAGCAATGCCTTATTCATTCATCAAAAGCTAAAAGAATAATTAACTTTTCAAACCATCTTACATCACTTTTTGTTGCAAATGGAACACTGTTCTTTTGAAAATGCAACACAATAAGCACACTTCAATTTGCAAAAAATGGAGATATAAAAGTAACATCAGCTGGACTGTTATACACTAGTTGCTGATATGACAAAAGAAAATAAGTGAGCTCATTAGTTTGAGCAGTCCTACTTGGCATGTTGAACTTTATTAATAAACTTTTTGGCAGGAAAATATCAGGTGTACTATATGATTTAATCCAAGAGTTACTGTGACAAAAAGAAACAACCCTACAAAACATGTTAACTTGCAACATAATGTTGATCATGCTGACTGCTATATATATACATATATAAACACACACGCATCATGTAAAGTTATGTGTGTATATATGCATGTACATACATATGTAAGCTGATCTTAAAGACCATGTGAACAACATTTCAACATTCCTCCTTTGGTCCCACAATAAAATATATTTTTGTTTTCATATATTAAAATTATTAAGTTTTATATCCATAAATTATGTTAATAATTTTAGCATTTTTAGTTCAGATTTTTTTCATATGGTTGTCTCTTTATTACATCCAACAGTATTTTAACATCTTCAGATTTACAACTACGATTCGCAACGGGGGTAGTGATTCTTTTTATGAGAACATGTGCTAAACATATCAAATCCATTAGGTGTTCCTGATGTGAAAGACAGCTACAATCAAAACAATTTTCAAAAACCACACCAACACATTGTTCTATCTATGATGACAACTTGGTAAGTTGTCAATCATAACAAGAATTTGAGTTGCAATGAAGTGTCTGTTGCATGCTCCAATTTCACAATTCTACAAAGTTGCCTAAATTTGCTGTTTGTAACAGAGTGTCATGCATGACGATTCAGATTATTGCCACTCATTAACTTTGCCACATGCATGAGATTCATCCCATGTTACATTTTCTCCAAAGTTGCACATCCTTGCAAAACACACAACAGTAAATCCCATCTTCTAGAGTGTGATAACTCGCTTAAAAAAAGAAAAGAATAATTTTCAAATTCATTGGAGCAAAGCTTTTATTTTGCTAAATTATTCCACCTTCGTCCTGACTATATTCTAATATATCGTACTCTTGTTTTCTCTAAATTATCATCACATAAATTAAAGTGGGAAACATCAATAAAGCAAAGGTAAAAATAGCACAATCTCAGGGATCTTCTACAAAGAACTCAGCACATGTTTTATGATGCGAAGGATATACACAAGTAGAATAGAACCAGTTGTCATTGAAAACATTGATAAAGTTGCTACAGGTTACAAATGCTTACCCAATGATCTTTCTCCTCATTTGGGGGTTTAATTATGTTCATCCAGTCACCCAAACCTTTTTTCTTTTCAGTTGACTGCTCAGTCACTTTAATAGCATCAGCAGGTTTGCTCCTTCCACCCATCTCCTTAACCTGGCATTTCCAGAGAACAAAACAAAAAATGTGAACTAAATGCATCCAATAACACAAGCACTCAAACTCAAGTGTGTGAATAACTAATATAGTAATATAAAAAACAAAATTACAAATAACAACCACAAATATGCCAATGTGCATGCATATGTATTCAAAATGGTTTTATGTGTGAGAACATGCTACTCTATAAAGATGAACTTTTTGTTGCCCAGATATCCAATGCATAAGCATCAACATGGGCCATCACAAATCACATGCACCACATAAAATGATTTTAGCCCGCTGACTAACCCCAACAGAAGATGGCAACCACCATATATTTATCACCTATGTGCATTGTCCCCGAACGGATCAAGAAGCTTACAAACCAAATCACAAGGAAGCAATTACAATTCCAGTTATATACATTCACTAGAACTACTGACACAAATGAACGACCAACACAGGAATTAGAAGCCTATAGTGGGCAAGGTAGACCAAACAAGAACGTAGCTGAATAAAAACCAAGAAGAAGGCTCAACAGGGATTAGAGCTGGAAAAAGAATGTGGGAGCCAAGTGATGAATCATTGACCTATGGGCCAAGAAATACAAACATGACACTGTACATCAAAACATAAAATTGGAAAAACCTTCCTAAATAGCCTAAAATACCTGAACTTTCAAGCAAACTTAAGTTCCTATTTCAGTGATTTCTACCTAAAGAACATATAATGCAATTCCAATAAGATCCTATGTAACTACTACTTTTGGCCAAACATGAATCAGCGTCAATCAACTTGAAATAACTGTGGTTCAGATGACCAAAGCATATTCCTGTTTGACCCAGATGGATTGGCCAAATTTGAGTTCGAGTTCAACCTAAAACCAAACTTGCTTAAAATCAAGTTTCACTGATAAATTTTGACCTTTCAGGAACTTGAGTCCAACCTGATTCAGCATGAAAGCTACTTCGATTGTGTTCAGTTGGTATCAACTCAGCTGAAGTTCTTTTTTTATCTTGTAAATAGAAAAACAAATCTATGTATATAGAAGATAGAACAAGTCTGTAGTCTCATCTCCAGACTACTATTTAATAATCAAGATATTGATCTTCTAAACATTTAGTCTATGTGGTTAGTAATCTAAACACATATGCAGGCAGCACATATATATATATATATATATATAATATTACGTACTATGCTGTTATAGTGGTGCAAAAACAAAATTGCGGTCAGGACTGATATTTGAAATACCGGTGATACAGCGGTAGTATAGCGGTCCAAAAAATTGAAGTTCATATAATATTTCTTCGAATTATATGTGTATATATAATATATATGTATGCATACATAAATATATCATTTGCATTAATTAAGAATATAGTTTCAACATCAAACCATCAACTTAAACAAGTTTCACAAACCCAAATAGGAAAAGTGTTCATAAATGAGCTAATCGCAAGCAATACGTTCAACATCATCGAGGAGTCGTGGTCGTCTAAAGCAGAAGATGAGATCGTCGTCGTCTAAACTAGCAACAGATAAGATCGTCGTCTAAAACAGAAACAGAAGCTGAGCAGTGGAGGTCTGGTCCGTCTGGAGCAGGCTGTTGATTGTCCAACTTGGAAAAGAAAAACCTACGACTTCCTTAAATTCCAACTTGGGTTGAGAAAGTAATTGTTATCTTAATGGATTGAAGTTAAAACATAGCCTAGATAAAAAGCCCAACTGCCCAAAACAAAGACTCAGAAGTAAAGCCCAAAAAACCCAAAAATAAATAACGCTATTGCAGAACACAATTTGACCCTAAATATCGGTCAAAATAGAGGCAAATTGCAACGATAATTGCGTGTCCGCTATTTACACCGCAATTTGACCACCTCTATTCTGCTTAGGGCCGATATCCAAGATTGCGCCGCAATTAACAGCATAGATTACGTATACGCATATATATACATATAACGATTACATGTCAACTACACTGAGACTAATCAAGTTTGATTTAATATTGTAACTCATTTTAGTACTCTGACTTCATTTGCATATCGAGCATGATATCTCTCCACAAATTGTCCGAGTAATCCGTTTAAGTTATGGAAATGGAATTTTCACATGATCCCAATTAGTTGTTGATACTTGCCTAAGCTCAGTTAATTAGACAAGTACATTCGAGCTTGTCAACACTCCACTTGTTTACAGCTGTAGTTTAGCAGCATTTTGATAGAGAAACAAGTTTAATGAGATTTTAGGGGAAGGCTAGGAGAGCTAGACATTTTAAACACACTTGGTCAACAATTTGAAAATTGGCCATTTCAATGCACTGAAGCCAGCCATGAACAACTGAAGGCCCACATATTTATTAAGACATGCCAGAAAGCATCCATGCATAAAAATTATATTCCTAACTTTCGAGAAGTTCTGTTCGGTTGGGAGTCCCAAGCTGGCTAGGTGTACTTTTGTGTTTTTCTTTTTTATATTATCTGCCAGAGGTACTGCCCTCTTTCTAAAAAAATAGAAAAACTTCTTACCAAATATGATGTGTGTGTGTGTTTTCCGTACATAAACATTATATGTTCAAAAAGGGTTAACAGAAATACATAGTTTAGCTTTTGCAAGGTGGAGTTTATGATAATTCACACAATTTCTTAGAACCCAACAAGGAAGTTGGATGCCTTCAGAGGGGGTGAAGTGTTTCACTTCTCAACATCAAAATAAAACGTACAATCATACAGATAAACATGCATGTACGTATGCATACATATAAGTTTCAGCTCCTAAAAGTGATTCATTGGATTCTAGACAACAAAGACCTGCTATTAAAACGAACTAATAACTTCAATTACATCTTTAAATGCTTAAGACAAAATTAACAGAATTATATAGGCTGCAGTTATTGTACTTGTTGCTATACATTGGAATTCAACGTCTACTTGTTTTAAAACTTATCACACCCATTTCATTAACATGTCCCAATCAAGTGAAGAGCAAAATTGTTCCTCACACACTCAGAAGAATAAGATAAAGATATCAAAGATCATGAATTCTTCAATTTCTAACCTGAATGGTTGCTGCTGTTACTGTGTCCAACAATGTGTTTGTAGTGTAACTATTGGATTGCAGCCTTATACGCCTTGGCTCAATGTCTACAGAACTCTTGGACCAAAATGCAAAGGTAGATGAATCATACACCTAGGCAGTACAAATAACAATTCAATTATAACAGGGAGCAGAGTTGCAAGAAAGGAAAAGGAGAAAGGAAGGAGCATACTTCACATCTTGTTATTGTATCAAGAGGATATATTCTCAAAGTCCGACTGGTAGAGGGATCAAGCATTCGAATTCCATCCAATCCAATCTGAGGAAGAAACATGGCATTCAAGTTCACCAAGAAATAATTTGGGAAATAAGGTGAAAGATCATGTATTATCACACAGAAGACAGTAGAAAATAGTAAAATAAACGCCATTGCATGCTCCAGAAAACCCACAACATATATGTTACAGCATTTAACGCCTGCTTTGTCCAACCATAATTGTTGTCAATTAACTAATTACCAAAAATAATATGAAGAGTCCTAGGTTCATTGTTGTTAACAATAATGGCTTAATAGTCAATAATTAATTATATAAAAACTTGCAACAAAGACTTCGTAAATAATTTGTAAAGTAAGAGTTGATAACTAATTGCAAGAATAGATAATTACAATTCTTTTTTAGTGCCAAGTGTCCAGCAGTACAGTACCATACAGCTTTGCTTTTTCATTGTACTCTCAAGACTTCATTACTATTCGCATCTCAAAATCAAAACAGAAGGTATGAAAGAGAGCTGATGCAAGAGCAGCAGCAGATCACAGGCAAAAAGATGCTGCAGCAGTCGTAGCGGTTTGATCGCCGTGCAGTTGCAGGCCTTCATAGTGGTAGGTCAGCACACTCGCAGATCGAGAATCAAAAGGTTATACACAAGTGGCTGTGAGAATTTTATGTTTCTTTACCTAATTCCACAATTATCATATGACCAAAGAAAACACACAAGAATCTTTCAAAATTTTAGTATATGGGTTTTTTTAATTAAAGTATCTCACAGATAGAATTGTATTTCAATTCACCGCATAATCATATATTACAAGGTTTATCATCGATTCGGGACCGATTAAATCTTTCCGCTGTTTATTGTCTGCTTAGGCTTGACTGGGACAGTCAACCACCCACCTATGCCTAGACGGCCTTAATCAGTCTTTTAGAACACTCAATCTCATGGAGTCTCATGGCCAATTTTATACAAACCACCATTGCTGAGCCTACTTGAACTTTTAGTCCTTACAAATTATAACTTACAAGAGTACAATTTTTCAGAATGACCCATTACTAGATTGTCAATTGTTACAGAAATTGCCATCCATTCATTCAACACCACAGCCGGTGAAGAACACAAATAATAACACCATCCGCTATTCCAATTGTGGTTGCCATGAATAACTAAATGGAAAGAAAACATCAGATTCTGAACAGGCAAACACGATTGGCGCCTGCCCACAATCTCAAAGTTCCAAGGAAAATGTCCCACAAAAAATTGAAACATTACTTCGTGAAGAGACTTTTTTAAAGATAAATTAACTATATACCCTATAGTAATCATAACAAATGTAGTTGTAGTTCCTTAAGGTCCACAACTTGACACTGAATGTGATTGCAGTGGTATTTAAACAATTAATTACACGTAAACTATTATTAATCTGCACGTCAAAGTTAAATGTAGCAATAGGGAGCAGAATTCTTATGTGTCTAGTTCAAGGATTCATAAAACTCTCATAACCACCTAAGCCAAAAATCGTCGTCTGCTTTCACAAAGTTGATACAAGATGCAAAAAGAAGCCAAGACTTGAATTGGCAAGTCCTAAAAATGCACTAGCTAAATAACAACTTTGTTCTTGGCAAAGGGAACATCTAAGAATGAAATTCCCGTATGCTTCTATACCTTTGTTCTTGGGAAAGATAGTTGAATGTATCATCCCTAACCAACTACTCTCTAGAGCTCTAAGAAACAACATTTGAAGATGATCCAAATTGCATGCAAGAATGAATACCAACTCCGAGTCAAGCATCAGAAAAAAGCATCGCAACACATTGAATTCTGATGAGTAACTACATTGATAAGCCATACTATAATGACATGATGCATAAAACTCTCTCAGAAAAGCCATCAGTGACAAGCAAACATGCATATGACACAGATTAATAAACTAGAAAGCATAAAGATAGTTCCTCTGTACCTGGCAAAGAACATCCATGGTGCTCTGGCCACCACTTTCAGCCAACAACTTTACCCTGAACTTCTGTACCCCACCCTTAACATCTTCCCGTGTCTCAGCCTTTGGGACAGCCTTCACAATCTTTGGAGACGATACCGATGGTGAGTCCTTACCAGGTAAACCAATAGGTCTCCCAAAATCATCAAAAATTACCTGCTCCTTCCAGGTAGAGGACTTGGGAGCAGTACCCCTAGAACCATAAGGCTCAACCTTACCCCCTTGATAGGCATAAACACCATCACCATACCCATCACCTCCATACCCACCACTTGATTCAAACCTAGACATCCCCACATCCGGTCTTTTCCCATAATAATCGGCACCCCCAACCGCTAGATCCGAGACGCTCCTACCATAAGCACCACCATAACCAGTATCATATGAACCATCATATACAGGCGGAACCGGACCCGGACCCTGAACAGGAACCGACGACGGATTAGGATTATTATACAGAGACGATGAGTACTGAAAGCTTGAGCTGTGGTTCAAAGGGATAGGATTCGGAGGAATCGAAGCCGGTGGTTGAGGAGGGTAACTGGGAGCCGCCTGATGCTGATCATAAGGTGGGTGAAAAGGTTGTTGAGATTGATAAGGAGCGTGCGATTGTTCAAATTGGGGGAAAGGGGAGGATTGTGGATTAGGGTTTGGAGGGGCAGGAGAGTATGAAGGGGCAGTCGGAGGTAGAGGATCAGGATTGTGCTGAGGGTAAGAAGGATAGTAATCGGAGGGTGGAGCATGGTAGGTGGTGGTGGAAGTGAAAGGAGGGGCGGAGGCGTAAGTTAAGGGTGGATTGTGGATATCTGGGATAGGATTAGGGTTAGGGTTTTGTGGGTAATTGTGATAATATGGAGTTGTGGAGGTGTAATCACCTTGTTGCATGGTGGCCGGCGGTGGTCGGCGATTGAATGATCGATGGAACGATGAAGATGAAAAAGAATCTGTGTGGGTTTGGTTTTCTTCTCGAAGGAAGCAATGATCAAATACAGGAAAACGAGGAAGAAGGATGATGAGTCAACTCACTTACAAATATTATTTATTTGTTTTTTATAAAGAAAAGTTATTACCAATTATGTGTTAATTATATTCTTCAAAATATATATATATATATATATATATATATATATTTATTTATTTATTTATTTATATAGTCACGTTTAAATAAAAACCATACAATTCTTAAAAATCGTATAAATTAATTTCGATCAATAGGAAAATTTTATTTTTTTCTAATTAAATTTAATCATTAAGGRTATATTRGTCATTTGCATTGTTTTCTATTAAATATGAAAGTTATTAATAAATCTTAATTAAGACAACATAATGAAATAAATTTTATAAATGGTAACATTTAAATATTTAATTAAATTATAATATTAAAAATTGGATTTTGTTATATTGTGTTTCGATTTATTATTGTCAAGATTCATGAAAATCATAAGTTATTAGAGTAATAAATCCATGAAATCAGTAATAGAATAAAGAAAATATTCATGAAAGCAGTTTCATACATGGTGAAATTGGTGTATGAAGTAAGTGAAAATAATTATGGGATTGGTGCATGATGAAACCGTTTCATACATGGTGAAATTGGTGCATAGAGTAAGTAAAAATGTTTATGAAATAGGTGCATGATGAAACCGGTTTCATACATGGTGAAATTGGTGCATAGAGTAAGTGAAAATGATTATGAAATGGGTGCATCATGAAATGGGTGCATGACGATATGGGTACGTGATGAGGTTTAAGATGCACGAAATGGGTGCATGATAAATAGTGAAAATGTTTCATGAAACAGGTTCATGAGGTTTAAGATGTAGTTGGGTTTACCATTTTGCCCTTCTCGCTATTATAAAATAAAAAATTTTAATATATATATATATTTTTATTTCATAAAATAAACTAAACTAATTTTGACCATTGATCAAGAAAATAGATGGATGAGATTGGTTTACATGGTGTACACAAATGGGGGGCGGTTTTCATTTGATTGCTCCTATATATATATATATATATATATATATATATTATAAAACATTTGAATAAAAACTCTTAAAAACTATTTTTTATGCATGAAGTATTGTTTATTGATAAATATTACTTAAAATTCAAGATTATAAATAAACTGTGCATAACTTATTAAAGGGACATGTTTGAATCCATGTAACTAGCTGCAGATAAACATAGTCAAATACAAGATAAACATTTCATTTTAAATATAAAAAATCTAAAATATAATTAAGATAATTATTAAGTTCTAACAGAATATTTAATTATTATCCTTAAAATTATATTATTAAATAAAAAATAAATTATTTTGTTACTAAATCTAAATTAAATTGAATTGAATAAATTACAAAAAACAAGTACTTTTAAATAATTATTTTGATACTAATATTGATATATTTATTTTTGAAATTTTATGATATCTTAAAATTTATATTTTATTCAAAAATAAAAAAATTATTTTTTTCTCAAAACCACATAAAAACCGTATTATAACTTCTAAAGAGACGGAATAAAACGAAACATTAAAATCGAGATATATCTTGCTACATTGTGTGAGTATCATTCTATTATAATATAGTATAAAGTATAATATAATACTAGAAGGAACCCCGCATAATGGAACGAGATACATTTCGATTTTAATATTTTGTTTTATTCTTTGTCTCTGTCAATATAATACGTTTTATATGGCTTGAAAAAACAATAATATTTTTATTTTTGAATAAAATATAAATTTGAAGATAACATACAACTTTGAAAAAAAAATATCGATATTAGTATCAATTTACAATTTAAAAATTCTCGTTTTTTGTATAGTTTTTTAATTCAAAATTTATTATAATTTAATTTATCTATCCTATATTATAAAACATTTGACAAAAAATCTTAAAAACAATTTTTTATGCATGAAGTATTGTTGATTGATGTATATTACTTAAAATTTAATATTACAAGTAAATTGTGCATAAATACAACTTATTATAGCTTTATTTTTTTCGTTCGTGTAACTAACTGCAGATAAAGATAATCAAATACATGATAAACATCTCATTTTAAATATAAAAAATTAAAATATAATTAGGATAATCATTGAGTTTTAACATAATACTTATTTATCATCTTTATAAAAATTATATTATTAAACAAAAATAAATTACTTTGTTAATTATAATAAAGAATTGAACTAAAGAAATTACATAGAAAAAAAAGAATTTTTAAATAGTTAATTTAATACTAATATTGATACATTTTTTTCAAATTTATATTTCGTTCAAAAATAAAAATATTATCATTTTATAAAACCACGTAAAACCTTATTGCATCGACAGAGAAAATGAATAAAATGAAACATTAAAATCAATATATATCTCGCAACATTGCGCAAGTACTCTTCTAGTGTGTGTGTGTATATATATATATATATATATATATCAAAGAAATGTTCAAACAAACGCTAGTTTATTTTTTTTATAAAATAATGTAAATAACCAATTTTATTGATGTGCAATGATCTATTTATTAGAAAGACACTTGATCAATCAAAATAATAAAGTTTAGTAATTTTTCCATTTAAAAAGATAGTTTAGAGACTTAATCATTCAAAATGAAAATGTTTAATGGTTTTTATTCAAAAAAATAGTCCGGGGACTTAATTGTTCAAAATAAGAAAGTTTTATAGTTTTTCATTTAAAAAATAGTTTAACTCATTCAAAATAAGAAAGTTTTTTTAAATTTTTCCCTATATATTAATACTAAAAAAGAGTAAGCTGCAAATTTGGTCCCTGTGGTTTGTCAAAAATAAAACTCTTATTACCTGCAGTTTCGAAATTATAAAATAGCTATCGTACTTGTAAAAATATCTAGATCTTTTTGGGGGGCAGTATGAGATGAGTAGTTTTATCTGGGGTGGATTCCTCCTAAAGAGTAACGAAGGTGTGCAAAGGTAAGCTCAAACTAAGATTCTGCTCGTAGTATAATGGTACAAGCCTGTCTGATTGTGAGACCGATTAAGAGTTGGTATCCTTTCCTAAGGGAGGTTAAAATATCCATTAAATGACGGGTATTTTTGTCATTTTGTCTTTTTTTTTGGTTTATCTGATTAAAGAAATAAAGACCAGAGTCATAAAATCAATATTGATTGTGTAAAAGAAAAAAAAATTCATATTTAATAGAATGTTTTAACAGTTGTTAGAGGGAGAGACAACATTTGGACGTTTTCACAAACTTCGATAGTTATATTGTAATTTCAAACTATAGAGACGTTAAAGTGTTATTTTTGACAAAATATAGAGACAAATTTATAGTTTACCAAGTAGGAGTCATCTCCAACAGATTATCTAAAATAGATAAGATGGAGGTTTTGTTCTCTATATTGCTCCAACAGATTCTCTATAATATTCTCTAAAATAGAGAAAAATGAAAAAAAAACCTTCATATTTAGAGAATTTTCTAAATAGAGCAGTGATTATTTTAATCATTCCACCAGTTAGATTGAATTATTATTTAATATAAAGTTTTTTTTATAAAAGTGTACTGACATGATAAAATTAGATAATATATATATTGAAATCTTTAAAATAAAGAATCTGTTGGAGTTGAATATATAACTTTTTTGGAGATTTTAACTTTTGGTTCTCTATAGATAAATTATAAAGAACCTGTTGAAGATGTTGATTAATATTTTGAATAAAAATTTAAAACTTAACAGATGAAACGAGAAAAAAAGAGTCTAAATATAAATATAAAAAAGATTAATGTTTTCTTATTATAACTTATAAACATATAAATTAAAAATTAATAATAATATGATTTCTTAGGAATTGTTTGTTTACCTTTTAATAGTTTCGTTTAGAGGCAAATTCTGAATCGTTAAGAGGTGAATTTCGTTTGGCAAAAAAAATATGTCTCTTAATGGTTCTAAAACTCTCTGAATGATTTTGTATTGGGTCTTCCTTAACCATTCAGTACCTTAATTTCATTGTAAACAATTACCAAATAATTATATCTCATTTTGCACTATATCATGAGACTCTTTTAATCATTCTGACCATTTAATCATTTTGCATCAAACCATTCAACAACTGCCAAACAACCCCTTATTCAGTTCAATTAAGATAGTGTAGAAACAGCTGAAGACCAACCCGAAAAATCGAATAGTCAATTATTGTCAAACCAACATTTAATAACCATAACAAGAGGGCATTTGGTTAAATGTATTAAGGAGTAATCAATAGAAATAAAAGTAAAAAAAAAAAAAAAAACTATTTGCTATTATATAATATAATGACCCTAGATCATTCGTAATCGTCGTCTGGGGTTAGTCGGTAAACGTAAGCTGCCCCAAAAACCGATGGTTACCCAAAAAAGTTATAAACTTGGATCCCGAGAAGACGAACTATTGGTTTATAACATAGTATAAAAATATATTAATTGAAAAGAATAAAATACTCATTTTTTATATAATATTTTAATAAAAATAATTATATTTAAGAAAATTTATATTTTAAAACAAAAACTAAAAGAAAAAACCTCAATTAAAAGCTAAAAACAGGTATTTTGACACCAACAAGATTCAAACTCCGCTCTCTATTAAATGCAAGACTTCGATCATACTCCATAAACTAATAAAACATTACAGTGACACTCGTTAAGAACGTAATTATTATTCCATTACGATCGAGCAATGAAGCTTAGGTAAGTCCGGTCCTGCCTCTTCCCATCCAAAATTCACATATTTTCCGGTAACAATCATTACGAGAAATTCCAAACATCATGTGTTAACTCAAACGTTGCAAAATCGCGGACACGAAAGAACTCGTTAAACGATCAACAAAACCCAAACGAAAATCAAACTTCTTATCAAGATTTCCGGCACAGGATCCGGCCGAAAACGATGGTCGGAAGTCGATGAGCAAGGAATGCGTTAATATGTGTCCGATTTCTGAGGTATAACTATAAGAAATCCAGATATCACCATTATTTTTCCCTCATCAAACTTCCTAAAATATCCCTTCTAGCTTCTCATTTATGAATGACCGAAAGTAAGTTAAAAGATATAGAGCGATTCTGACTGATTACGCTTCTTGAAGACGATGAGGCTTCATTTGGTTCTCCATCCTAGTGAACCATTCGCCGATACGCGTGTTCTCCACCATATCCTTGCCGGACTTGAGGTACCGTATAGGTCTCAGAACACCAAACACAACAAGATCACCCAAATTTGGTTCCGAACCACCTGTACAATATTAACAACCATTTCGCTTTGATCACTTATCTTTTTATTTATTTCAGTTTTTTATACGCAAAATAGACAAAGGTGTCAATGGTACTTCTACGTCTTTTTCAATCACATACGCATACAAAAAGACACAGGATAAACCAAACGAACCTAGTAAATCCCAGTTTCTCAACTCGAAAGTGAAGTCTAGGATGAAATGTAGGCAGACCTGACCTCTACCCAAAATAGTAGAGTGGATGCTTCTGTGAAAACCTCCGGCTCGTGAAAAGTGTGAAAGAGAGAAATGCAGACATGATAACTTTCTCGAAAGGCAGCTACAACATTTTCGTAAAATGTGGCTATTTTATAACAATAAGTAATTGATAAATCTTTTTGTAGGTCTATGTAAATAAAGAAAACGTGAAAGTACGAAAAATATGTTTAGAGGCTAACCCCATTTGCAAATCAAACAAGTTTTAGAGGAAACGGAGGTTGAAAATTAGAAGGATTTATACGAACCAAGATATTGTCTGCCGTTCAAGGCATCCACCCATGTCTCTGCAGCTGCGTACAAGGCTCCACGCTCATCGGTGATGTTATGTCTTTTCTTCAGCTTTTTTGACACAAAATACATGGCTGCAGCTCCGGCGTACTTTGCAACCAGCCTTTCAGTGAAGCTGAAATTACCTGAAATAATACAGAATCTTGAATCATTATCTTTTTGAATTTTGGTTAAGTTTCGTCCCAATGCTTGTTCAAAAGTAGGGTTAATTAGTTTTTATGGTAACTGTGGGTGTCGGGGAAGTTTGTGAGCACCTTGACAAATCTCATGGGACCCACTTATAGTCGTTACATCCAAATTCCAGTATCCCTAATCAGATTCATAATTAGACCGGTCTTTAACCTATCTATGTGGAAATTACCCACCTAGAACTTGGACTTACTACACCTTGCACATTAAGCGATTGTATCATGTATCACCAAGACTCTACCTCTATGTGGGATATTCAGAGCTCGTTTGGTCTAGATTGGATCATGTATCATCCAAGCACACCGATTCTTTGAGCAGGTCTTAAACTCGTATTTAAATTCAATTTACGATCCAGCCTGAACTGCATCTGTGGCAACCTAAAAGGAGACTATACAGAGGTTCATTGCGAAGCATGCGGGTCCATCTACTGTCTCAAGCAGTTTAACTTTCGTGCTAATTATAGTAGTTATATATAAGATAAGCTATAATAATTGGGTGTCTTGGTCAATTCTTTTGTGTATCTTCTCATCGTTTTGAAGAGCAGCGAGCTCTACTAGGTTAAGTTATTTCCACTACAGGTTTATAATCCCGCCTCTCTCTCTCTCTCTCGTTTTTCTGGCAAGGACTTCCAAGTAAGACATTGTAGCATATGTCTAGTGATTTTCATTTAATTTATATGATAATAATGACTTAACCTGCTCTAGGAAGACCCAATTCACACCACAAGTTTATTATCTCCTCTTTCACACAAACTAGGAAAACATAGAAGTTTAAACTTTGTTGCCTATATGAGATGCCACAAAATGATAAACGCTGAACCTGCTGAACTTCATTATAAAACAACCAGTCAAGAAAACCAATACATACACAATCAAGATTCTGAAACCAAACAAGCAAACAAATGGAAACCATCAATAAGCCCATGTACCGGCTATGTGTAGGACTACTAAGGTGCAAAGACACAATGTATTTGACAATGGTGTGTTGCTTCTAGAAGACAAAAAAATTTCGGTGCAAAAACATAATCAAGAAATATCCTCTAATTGCTGTATGTGTTTTTTTTCCAAATCACTTTCTTATGTTCTGATTTCTTAGTCAATTTTCAATCATATCAAACATCATAAAAAACATCCTAATTTTTTATATGATGTCTGTGGAATGGATCTGCCTTCCTAATGTTTTCACAATGGAAATCCAAGAATAAGTACCTACAAACAAATATACCAATTTGTTTGCTAGAAATAGACATGAACTAAAAGACTGTCACACCCTATCTTCTTTCTTAGGCTCTTAATGATTCATGGAATTAATGTATTTGGCAGTAGAAATGTCACTGTTTGATCAATTTAGGCTCGATTAATATTCATTAGAGCTATATGTCTCAGTCATTTTATATGAGCGTTATGCCACATATATGCTGGCTGCACACCAAACGACGTCTTATTGAGCATTATAATAAGCATTCTTCAAGGGAGACTTTCATAATTCTCCACAATTCTCTTGAGAGCTAAGTTTTCTACAAAACAAAATCTAGATGAGCTATTAGGCAAAAGTATAATCCCTGACATAAAGGTCACCTATAAGTAACAACTTGAGCAGAATTTATTTTTATCTTCTCAATTATGGCTACCTATTAGAGCATTAAGAATCAAAGAACAATATTGGTGCACAGAATTTCCTATTATGTGGGGCTGGAAACTGGGAAGAAGAAGAAAGTCCATATCCATTACCTTTTCCTTGCTTTTTGTAAACCAGTTGTTTCCATGACTCAAACTTGTGATCTCATCACCTCAAATATGCTTGTGTTGTTACAATATTGCAGCTACAATCATATATCGACAGTTTGGTGGTTCCTGAACTTAACTTGGTGAATAACCTGGGCAAGTATCTGATAATGCATTTAACCTGATACAAACCTCTTAAATATTGCTCCAATCCTTTATAACGAAATAAAAGAACCTTGAAGACTAAGCAGATTAACTTTCTGTTCTAGTTTCTGTTGTCACACTTACAACAGGGTCTTCCTACCCTTTAAGTAAATTTCACCAAAGAAAACCATATGTTCTCATTTTCTATATGTCTATATTCCAGATATGATCATGAAAATGTTCGGGAACTGCAGAACATAATAGGCATATGAGTGCTTTTGGTACAAGAATGGGACTGTCTGGACATAAAAGGCACATAAGTGTGGTAGGCAAGTGAAAGAATTGCCGAAGGTTTGAGTAATTTGACATGGGTAGTTTACTACTTTACAATTCTTGTCTTTATCTCCCTGATTTTCATTCCACCTATTTTGGTGGGATAGAAAAATGCATTTTTGTCTCACTCAGATCCTGTTAGTCCCAGTCTAATGTCGTGCCAAACATGGGAGAACAAGTTTTTGTATTGTTGTCTCGCCCTGTCCCACATACCAAACACACCCTACATGAGGCAACATTTGGGACCTGGATAGAAGAGTGAGCCTTAAAACAAGACCACCAGAGTGTTAACAAGTTGAGGATGGGCTTTGAGTTTACTGTAAAGAGTGTGCAACATCATTTAATAGTATTAATGAAGAGATAAGATCCAAGTTCCAACTATCCAATCGCTGAAGATCTTTACAAAGTCATATGCTGTTATTCTGAGGAATCCGTTGCACAAATGAACATGTCGCTTGCATCTAACTAACACACTGTAGATTCTTTCAGCTCATGCATAGATTACTTAGACCAACAAGTGTACCTAAAAGTCTAAGTACCTACTGACTATAGCTTTCATCATGGATTTACAAAAAGAAAATAAATTCTCACCTTGCTTATATTTTCCCCTCTTTCATCCTATGATCTAACTAGCTTAACAAAAAACTATAAAGTTCTAAAGTTCATTTTTCAAACTTAAATATATAATAGGTAAATATGTGTCTGTCAGAGAGTACGTGTGTACAAACAGCTAAAAGAGGGACATATCAATGTGTTTCTCTTCCTACAGGTAATTCAGGATTTTCAGAAAACATATAATATGTAACTTGACAATACTCAATATATTCAAATTATCAAAAAAGTTACCATGACCAGTGATGTAATCAAATGATTCAAGAGCCTCAGAGGGACTTCTGTATATATTTGGTGACAAGACATGCACCAAGTGGTTGTCCACCCACCTACAATAAAAAGTTTCAATCATAAACAATGTATCAATTTCATGGAGATCAATTCTCAGTCCGTAAAAGTTAAGTCTCTTCTACAAGATTAAATTCAGTAGAGACACAATCATCTACACCAAACAAATTCATAATTAGCACAAGACTACTTGCAGGAATAAACACTATAAGAAGCACCAAGATATTAAAAAAGGGATCATACCCACGCCACTTTTGAGCTTCGTCATCCTCAGAGATAGAATCCGGATGAATCCTTTGAAACATTTTATCAATAATATCTGCCAACATCAAGCATACTTTCTTCAGGAATAATTTAAAAAGGAATGGAGAACCATAAATAAACAAATAGCTTTTTGCTATATAGTTAATGAAGACAAAGTATGTCAATAACCTGAAGAGTTGACCATTTGTTCACCATCTACCATCAATATTGGCACCTTCCTGTAATCAGACCATTTAATTTCCTTCTTGTTGATAGGATTGACCTCCACAATCTTGTATGGAATATCATAATATTCAAGAAATGCTGTAAGAAGAAGAAAATCTCCAAATAAGTTGGAAGCAAAAATTAAGCATAAAGTAGCATTTAAATTAAAATGAATGTTGATAAAATGTTCAAGGCATTGCACAAAATTTGTCATGTTCAACATAACCAAAAACATGCACTTAATTTTTCTAAAAACTGCCACTGATTTGTAACAAATGCATAATTAGTTCTAAATGGAATAAAACTATAACATGTCACTAGCCACAAAACAAAACAGGGATCAGCATCACCTTTAACCTTGTTACAGAAAGGGCAAGCTTGGTACTGATAAAGAACGACGTCGTTAGGGACGTAATTCCTGTTAGACTGTGGTAAATCTTTCTCATGAAGCTCTCGAGCTGCTGAGGCGACCGAGGAATAACAAACCTTCCAGCCGTCGCAGTTTTGTCCGCCGGTGACCTTATCGAGCGATGAAAACCAGTGAGACGGTTGTGCATAGGAATATGTGCTATTCCTGCTGCAAAACAAAGCCGTTTGGAGAGATAAGTGGCGGCGAGAGGTGGAGGAGGCGGCCAACGCACGGCCGGTGGCAGCGAGACGGCTGATTTTACTCATCGTTGTTGCCATGGCGGTTCTAGAAAACTTCAAAGGCGAAAGCAGAAAGTCAGGTGTTCAGTAACAATTGGGCAGACTTAAAACCACGTACCTCACCTTTTTTTCATACTAGAAGCGTACTCGCGCAATGCAGCGAGATACATCATGTTTTTAATATTTCATTTTATTTTTTATCTCAGTCGATGTTATAATAT